GGTCGAAAGCTCCAAAAGGTTGATTTTGCATAATACCTTCTTTTTAAAAACAGTATCCTTCACGAAGTCAATATGAAATTCAGATATTTTGAAGTCTGCTGCATAATTAAGTTTCCTTTCAATAAATAAGCAACAAAATTGTAGCACTGGCACAAAATATACACAAAATCCTCTTCAAGACAGCAGCCCATGATAACTATACTGTATCACCAGATTTAATTTCACAATATGGCGATATTTTTGCACAAATTGGGTTGTCAAAAATACCAAAACTAGGATACTAAATGATACTAAAACTAAAACTAAAGCAGGTATTGACACTAAAAAGTATAAGATAAGTAGAAATGAACCTGTACATAATAATAGTACGATGTTTTAATGTTACAAATCACATTCTGTTGTCTAAAGAAAGTGTTTTTTTTATCGTCATTGTGTTATTTGCATCAATTTCAAATCGAATCCCAATGTTTATCCAAAATCGTTCAGCCCTATGGTAAAATCTGCTTAACGCTGAATCTATATATTGGTGCTATATTTAGAAGCGCGTGCTCTTCCTGTAATATCTCCTGTATCATATTTGTGCCTTGGAGCAACGCATTTGGCAGCACAGACCTTGTCCAGCCAAGGGGAAGTAAGTGACGCTGAGGGGGGATGGGGCGCTCTGGCCTCTCGTGATCTCAAGACCGCTGTCACGCCAGCGGGAAGAGCAGAGCGAGACGGGGCCATATGGACAACTGTACAGCTATATATTATGAAAGATGTGTGCAATTATGTAAGGACGGCTGAGAGATTCAAGGTGCCCTACCATGAAGACCAGTTGTGCTATAGAGTTATAATCTGTCATACCCCTTGGATCATTTTAAATCGCAATATATTGATCGAAAACATCTTAAAGGGACCATATTATTTATCTTACAATGTTGTTTCCTCATCACGAACATACCTGGAGTTCTTCTCTCAAACAGAAAACACTTTATTCCACCTTGTGATGTCCTGTGATGATACAGGAGGTGCTCCACTGTGTTTCTAAACTCCATATTCACTTCATTAGAGTCATTTGGATGAGTTCAGCCCTGGAATTTGCCAATCTCTGCTGAACTAAAGGTAAAAAGTATAACTGTTAACTTTAAAACTACTGCTTCATGACATCACAAGGGGGAGCACAGTATTTAGAGCTATGGACGTGTAGACAGACTACCGTATTTTTCGGACTATAAGGCGCACTTAAAATCCTTTAATTTTATCAAAAATCAACAGTGCGCCTTATAATCCGGTGCGCCTTATGTATTAATTCTGGTTGTGCTTACTGACCTTGAACCGATTTCATGTGGGACATGGTAAACTACGAATCTTGATGGATTGTTGGAGCATTATGGCTATCGTAAATCCGACAGAAACTGATTGCATTATGGCCCAATAATCGAGCAGTTTTTTTCAGCGCTTATAGTTTATGTAAATTAGCCTTGTAGTTTTAAGTTTTGTTTCTGTAAAACATAAACAAATGTGCTCAAAGCTGCATTAAATACTTTATCACTCAATGTGTATTTGAGAACTCCTCGTAGGAAATAAAAAAACAAACTTAAATTATCCACCCACATTCACATTCATAACACTTATTCACCAAGACAGGGAGGCAACGCCGGGTGAGTTATGCCACGATCTGCCAATGGATCGTGGATGCCTGGGCTAAGGGATCAATCTCAAGTGTCGTCCATTTGTTTCGTTTAATGCATCTTATAATCTGGCGCTCCTTATGTATGAAAATAGATGAGAGAATTCAACATTATTGATATCACGCCTTGTAATCTGGTGCACTTTATAGTCTGAAAAAAAAAAACAATAATGATAAAAGCTTATTCAAACATGTAAATGAAACAAAACACAACTCCACGTACATTTTTGAGGACATAACATCATTGTATATCTCACAAGAGTCAATTTAGCAAAATATGGAACCTTTAAGAAAAGAAACAAATACAGTGGCTTGTGCGTCAGAACCCTGCGGTGCCCAGCGGGAGCAGGCGTTACTGTAAATGTCTTCACAAAAGTAGATGTGACTCTTCAGTTTATACCAAAATGACTTTGCAACGCTGCCGAATCTTGCGTGTACCACTGATTAAGGAAATAAAACTGGAGAAGAAACATCATTAGATATCAGCGGGGATACTGAAAAAATTGCTGGAGCGGATATTCAGTCGATATCCTGGTTGGACGGATAAGCAGTGTTGGGAAAGTCACTTTTAAAATCTGTTCCCCTACAGATTACACACCCCAAAATGTACTTTGTAACATAATCCATTAAATTACTTAAAATGAGTAACGTAATCTGAATATTTTGGATTACTTGATTTGCTGTAGAGAAGCAAAGACCAGGATATCTTCACATAAGTCTGTTAAAAGACGATAAAAAAGCCCAGTCTTTACTTAACCGTATTAAAAATATTATTGATAGAAGAGGAGGAGACACGGGCCATGCAGCATGATTTAGTCCTGTTAAATCCTGTTTTAGACCTGATTTAGTCTTGGTTTAGACCTGGTTTAGTCCTGGTTTAGTCCTGGTTTAGACCTAGTTTAGACCTGGTTTTAGACCTGATTTAGACTTGGTTTAGACCTGGTTTTAGTCCTGGTTTTAGTCCTGGTTTAGTCCTGGTTTAGACCTAGTTTAGACCTGGTTTTAGACCAGGTTTAGCACTGGTTTAGACCTAGTTTAGACCTGGTTTTAGACCAGGTTTAGCACTGGTTTAGACCTAGTTTAGACCTGGTTTTAGACCAGGTTTAGTGTCCGGTGATGAGTGGAATTACTGAGAAAAAAAAAAAAAAAAAAAGGAATACCCCGAAATGTGAAAACAGAAAAATACCACTGTGTAATCCATTTATTTCAACAAAGTAACTGTAATCCAATTACCACTCACTGAAACAGTAACTGTAACTGAATACAGTTACTCATAATTTGTACTCTGATTATGTAACTCTGGTACATGTAATCTGTTACTCCCCAACACTGCGTATAAGTCATAATATTTGAATGTTTATTTACGTGAAGCTGTTCGGTAGTTACTTAGATAAATAAATAGCACCTATATCAACACACAGCTCTAAAAAGTTGATCTTGCATAAATGTGGAGTTGGCTGCAGAAGTCTGTCCTCAGTCAGTGCTGCCGTGGTTTAGCGTTTCAAACACAGAAGTGAAGCCAGCGGAAAATTACAACCCTAATCTGAGTCTGGAAGTGCAGTTTATAATGAATGAAAAACGTTTTGGAAGAATTGCAGTGTTTCTTTAATAATTCACATTCTGCTGATTAGTCCTGTTTTCAATAATTTCTTACAGACCTTGAAATTACTATTATTCTTTTTTTGTTTGTTTTTTTTTTCTGTAATGCAGGGTTATTTTTTTCTTGCATAGCCTCCGCATTAAAGGTCGTATATTATGCAAAATTGACTCTTGTGAGCTTTGAGTCCTGTTTTAATGCTATAACCTCATCAAAAACAGACTTGGAGTTGTGTTTTGTTTCACTCACACATGTTTGAGTGATCCTTCGCTCTGTTCCACCTTGTGATTTCATGTAGTTGTAGTTTTCAAGTTAAAGGGACAGTCTGGTATTTTGGACATTGGACCTCATTTCCCAGTGAGCCAGAGTGTTGGAGACGTGTGGAGACACTTTTTAAAATATTCCATCCAGTCCTTGTATTTGCAGAGGTCGCTGGTGCTAGGCTAGTGCATGTCAATGGCCATAGTTATCCTGCCACTAAAAACAGTCTTACCCACTCCACAAAACACCCGAAGCAAAACTATTATTACACCAGACTGTCGATGTGAATGTCTGTGTTGATAGAATAATTTTAGAAGTCAAACCAACCTTGCATTTGAAGGATTTATGTCTGAGCAGCAGTGAGTTGTACTTCCTGATAGAAAGCTCGGCAGCGGCGGACTGATATATGAGAAAATAGTCCCTCAACGTGCGAAGATTCATGCGATGCAAGGTTAGTTTTATTTCAGACATTATTCTGTCAACACAGACATTCACATCAAAAGTCTGGCGTAATAATAGATTTGCTTCGGGTGTTTTGTGGAGTGGGTAAGACTGTTTTTAGTGGCAGGATAACTATGGCCATTGACATGCACTAGCCTAGCACCAGCGACCTCTGCAAATACAAGGACTGGATGGAATATTTTAAAAAAGTGTCTCCACACGTCTCCAACACTCCGGCTCACTAGGAAATGAGGTCCAGTGTCCAAAATTCCAGACTTTTAACTTTTTATTTATTCAGTTTTTCAAGTTTTCTGTAACAAACAAACAAATACGAAGCTTGGGGCACTGATCCATTGCAATAAGGATGTAGAAGTCAAGTCTCTTTTTGTTTATAATTCAACCATTATGTCCAGCATTTAATGCAAAAATGTCCTTTGAGTCGTAGAAAAAGTCAGTCATTCTATGGAATATATTTCAGTAGCTGCCTTTGCCTTCAGTTCAGTAGAGATTGGTAATTTCAGAGCAGAAATCATCCAAATGATTCTTAGTGAAGGTGTATGGAGTTTAAAAACACAGCGGAGCACTTCCTGTATTCCCACATGACATCACAAGGTGGAACTGTGCGTTTTCAGTTTTAGTTTCAGTTTTAGAATGTTGTTACATGATTAACTCACAAACCTTGCGTATTTAGTTCCTCTCTTAATTTGAAAACACTTTTCTTTGGGATGTGGTAATACAGGACGTGCTCCACTGTGTTTTTAAACTCCATACACCTTCACTAGGATTGAACTAAAAGTAAAAGGTGGTTGATCATGAGGTCGAATGGAGCATTTTGAAACTTGTAGATGTAAACAGACTAATAATAAAGTGTTACTCAAACATGTGCGAATGGAACACAACACAAATCTTGGTCTGTTTTTGGTGAGGAAACATCATAACATAAATCAGAAAACAGCGCGATGTAAGACGTTCAATAATGTTGCTCTATACAAAGGCGTTTAACTTGTATCGTGTTGCTGTGTCTTGCAGGAAACCACCATCACAGAGATAAAGCAGAAGATCATGAAAATCCCCGAGGCCAATGGGATCGTGATAGACGGCTTTCCTCGAGACGTGGGGCAGGCGCTGTCCTTCGAAGACCAGGTGAGTCCAGCAGGGGGCAGCACTCAGACCATAGACCAGACCTGGGCATTGTATTTTATAATTTTACCTCATGCATGGACTGGAGCTGCATTGCTTTTATTTTAAATTCGTTTGTTTAAATTATATATTTTGTTAGGTAGCCTCTCTTTTTCATTGCTTAGACATAATACGTACTCTTACCAGTCTTACCAGCTCATCAAAACAATCCTATTTACTGCTTTTTATACAGAAATACAATGAATGTTATGCAGAAGTGAGTTAAAGCATTTTGAGCCCGGCTTTCCACCATATTTTCTGTATCTCATGTGCCCCCTGGGAAAAAAATAATTGCCCATCCCTGCCTTAGACTGTATATTTAGCATGCTGGGGGGGTTCTGCTTGTATCTCTACGGTGGAATCTGCAGTAGTTACCATGGAGACACAATGTAGACATGAGCAAACACTGTAAAAAAAAAAAAAAAAAGTAAAAATAAAGATCGATTTAAACAAAAGGAGGAGCATTGATCCTGTTTATGTTAACACCCAGGGAATGTTGATTAAATCAGCTGAAAAGTATCAATATGTGTTTTTCACATTCAATTATAGTTATTATTATGATGATTTCATGTTTCCACGCGAGGGGTAAGAGACAGTTTTCTCTATTAATTACACAACCCACACAGTAAATTGTAAACACAAAATTTACACTGTATTACAACAAAAATTTGCATTTTAAAAACATTAATTTCAACTGCCTCCCATGTGTATTAAATAATATTGACCTAGAAAATGTTGGCGTGTCATCTGAAACCCAGCGAAAGAATGACACATACTGATGCTCTACTGTTCGGCTCAAGTCAGTTTAAGCCAACTCAGGCTTAAACTGACAGTTATAGCAGCTGTACTATATATGTCTATGTTTGGAACTGTTTCATAGCAACCAGAGAGCCAATCAGGAGCCAGGGTGTGGAATAGTGTTGTAGACAAGACCGCACTAATCGAGACCAAGTCCTGTCCGAGACCACAGGGTCCCGAGACCAGGACAAGACCAAGACCTTTGAGAATCAAGACTGAGACAAGACCGAGACTTTTAAAGGTCGAGATCGAGACAAGACCGAGACCACGGCCCATCGAGACCAAATAAAGACCATCGTTGTCAATTTCTACATTTATTTGTATTTTACTGTTATTTTGGCACATTTATATCAATGTTTTTATAGATTTATCTTCATTTTATCTGTTAAATGTTCATTTAAGTTTAAAATAAGCCATGCAAACTGTACTACACTGAAACACTCTCTGCCCCTTTTTTAGACCCTCACCCACAGTTTGAGAACCCCTTCTTTAAGAGAACTTCCACTGTCACTTTACAGAAAACTGTTTCAAAGTGAGTAAAGTGGGTAGGATTTTTATTTTTTAAAAATACGAGTGCACAGGCTGCAGTAAGAAGCACACTCCCGCACACCAGTACACGTTTATTGCCGACACCATTGGCCTAATGAAATATGAAATATACCGCACTCATCCAGTGTCAGACCTCGAGTACGAGACAAGACCGAGTCCAAACCCCTTCAAGACCGAGACAAGACCAAGTCCAAATGCGCTCGAGTCCAAGACGAGACCAAGACCATTAAAAAAACAGTCTCGAGGTCAGTCAAGACCAAGTCCAAGCGCCTTCAAGACCGAGACAAGACTGAGTCCAAGCGCCTTCAAGACCGAGACAAGACTGAGTCCAAGCGCCTTCAAGACCGAGACAAGACCGAGTCCAAGCACCTTCAAGACCGAGACAAGACCGAGTCCAAACGCCTTCAAGACCGAGACAAGACCGAGTCCAAGCGCCTTCAAGACTGAGACAAGACCAATTCCAAATGCGCTCGAGTCCAAGACGAGACCAAGACCATTAAAAAAACAGTCTCGAGGTCAGTCAAGACCTGAGTCCAAGCGCCTTCAAGACCGAGACAAGACTGAGTCCAAGCGCCTTCAAGACCGAGACAAGACCGAGTCCAAGCGCCTTCAAGACCGAGACAAGACCGAGTCCAAACGCCTTCAAGACCGAGACAAGACCGAGTCCAAGCGCCTTCAAGACCGAGACAAGACCGAGTCCAAACGCCTTCAAGACCGAGACAAGACCGAGTCCAAGCGCCTTCAAGACCGAGACAAGACCGAGTCCATGCACCTTCAAGACTGAGACAAGACCAATTCCAAATGCGCTCGAGTCCAAGACGAGACCAAGACCATTAAAAAAACAGTCTCGAGGTCAGTCTCAAGACCAAGACTGGTCTCGAGTTCTACGACACTAGTGTTGAAGGTACTTGCAGGGGGTGGCCGCTTAGCAATGAGGCGTGTGAACTGTCAATCAAGCCTGCCGCTAATGCTTCATATCTTGATTTACTAAGAAAACAGCTAAATAAAAACACCAGGATCATGTGATGTGGATAAAAAGGAAACTTGAGGATATTTTACTTCTATAGGGTATTAACTGTTAACACATTACATATTTAGGTCATGTTACTTTTCGTTGTTTTGAAAATGCTGTATTTGCCGAAAACAACATATGAACATGTTTTGTAATTTTCACTTTCGTTTTTGACCATAAGGCCCCACTCTAAAACCTCTTCAGGCATGTTTCTGATGAGGGAACGACGTTATAAGATGGTAGAAAGCTAATACCCCCGCTTTAAGGACATAATGACAAGCCTGAGAGCCGCAGTTACAGAAGAGAGGGCTCTGAATCTTTTTGAAAGTCAACTGGACCCAGACCTCGATGGAACCAATTCACGCCCATGCCGATTTCCTATTTGGAGTACGGCGGCTATCAGGCCGGCTCTGTCCTCTTCTGTGTGGGGTCTGAGATGGGGGATCAGGGCTGAGGCTGGGGTTAGGCTGGATCAGTGAGTGGGATTGGAAAAGGACCGCTGCAGATGTATTTTCAGATGTGTTGGGTGGTCCAGGTCCAGGCAGGTCTCTACTCCACTCAGACAAAACGCAACACACAGCTGCATACCTCATTCAGCTCCAGCACTACATGTACTTCATCAAGTAGTAGTTTATTTACACACTTTATGTCCTATATTATACAAAATAGATTCTTGACAGCTTTTAGCCATGTTAGAACGCTGTTACCTCCTCAAAAACATATCCAAAGTTCTGTTTTGTGTCATTTAACATGCAAAATAAACTTTTCAGAGCTTTCTACCTTCTAAGAGTGATGTGTGGCCGAAGTGTTTTTTTTAGATTGATTCAGTGTTTTTTTTTTTAACAAATTGCAGCGTATTTCTGCCACCCTCCCACGTGACAACGAACTAAAGCTGCTACAATGATGACACGGCAGATACACCTATGACGCGTTTGATGTAGCAGAAGGCGCTTCACATCCGCCCCCCTCCCCTGCTCCACCGTTCTCCACCCCGCATCGGCAGACAATTCCCACATGAACACCTAAACAAAAAAGCGACAGCATAAGCTCATTGTTCTACACTGCAGTGAACACAATATAATAAGTTGATCTACTAGTGTTTATTAATACTTTACCAATCAGTAATGTTTATGTCAACGCGGTGCTCCTCCAAGTCCTCATCCGATTCCAGGTCCAACACATGCGGCTGAACGCGCTGTATCGCCATGATGAATAAAAGTTTATTCCTACCGCTGTCAGGGTGCACGTCTGTCTCCCCCTCCCTCCCTGAGATGGGCGGAGGAAGGGCGGCTCACTCAGAGCCTACGTCGGCAGCTACGTGGGGGGATGAGCAATAGCGGGTCTTTCAAAGTTCCTGGTCTGTGACTGCCTCCAAGAAATCAGTAAGATTTCATAAATATTGTGTAATGGATGTTCCAAAACCCAAATTGTGCTTGTATATGTGCAGAAGATACAATGTGAAAAGAGTTATTTTGCATGAAATGGGCCCTTTAAGCTCAACACTGGAGCAGCTTTATTCCAACTTGTGATATCATGAAACTGTGGTTTTCAAGTTAACAGCCAGCTTTTACCTTTAGTTCAGTAACTCCAGAGCTTAACTGAAGGGAACATGAGGAAACGGCATTATAACATAGATCAGAAAATAGCATAATATGAGCTCTTTAATCCAAATAAGCAATCAAATACTTAATTAAGCAAAAGGAGGTGTGTACTGGAGTATCCCGACACTTTAGTCAAGAGAGATATCAGGCTTATCAGGTACTTAACAGTAGTGAAGGAGACTCAGGCGAATTGCAGTAGTGGTATAAGCACCCACATAAGGAGGCTAACACGTAAACAAAGGCAGAGAAGTTTCTCTTTAAAACTCCTTCCTTTGGGGCAGGATTTATTCAGCTTAGTGTAGTAGTGCTGTAGTCCTTTAGTGGTGTAGTCAATTAATTGGTTCAGAATTAGTTTTACAGGAGTTTGTGCGCACCAAACAGAAGCTCGTAGTTCAGTTCGTTTTCGTTGGTGTGAAAGCATCAATCACACTCGGATCTAGGGCTGTCGCAATAAGCACAAAAATGAATCACCGCGGTACTAAGAGGTCCACCGTGGTGAATGTTGGGCCACCGCGATCACCGCATGTGATCAGCGTGACCCGACCCTGACCTGAGTCCTGCACCATTTTTTAGAGACAAGGACCCGTTAACATTCCACCCAGTTACTGCCCATGCCCCTGATAACCCAGGACTAAGGTGTGCCTGCGTAGACCTTCTGGTGATCGCAGGCGAAAAGACCGGCATAGAGCTTCACGCCACATGGAGCTAAGTGCGGCCGTCGTCCGATCGTACTTTAGAGGCACCTGCTCCGTGTGCTCGTGATAGGGGCTCTCTCTCTTCAGTCCGCAGGTACCCGACCTGGTGCAGGACTCTGACTCGAGCTGCCACAGTGAGAGCTGGAGAGATGCAGCAGCACTTGTTCCAAACCCAAATGTTACTTCTCCCACACTACACACACTATATCCACACGACAACAAAGGTACAGGTGCGTTGGCACAACAAGTGCATCATCAGAGAGAGTTTTCAGTGCCGCTGGAAATATTGTAACTCCAGGGAATGGGGGG